AGGAACTTTTTTAATCGTCCAAAACTTTTTACAAAATTGATCAATTTCACATTTTTTTGTTTTGATGGAGTTTTCGAAAAAAAAATGAAAACAAAATCTGTGCTTGTCAACACAATGATGTTTTTTTTAATTTTATTAGTCGCGTTTTTAAGGATGTGAGGATTCTTATAAGAACTATAGTTATTTTTTTAATTTTCAAAAAATTTAATTTGAGAGCTTTGTGGGCCAAGTATTTTTTCTATTTTTTTCGATTTTTAAAATGTTTGAAAAATTTGCATGACGAAGTTATACCTTAATATATAATAATATATATTCATAAACTTTAGAAGTGCAGTAGTTTTTAACATTCATCTGTTAATGAGTGAACATGGTCACAACAGCAAAGTAATTAACCCAACATAACAGGGTTTAAAGTGTCAAAAAAAACGGAAAAATTGGGGGAAAACGGCCTTGGAAAAATTGTCTTTTTTGGGAAAAATTAAATATTTTTAACATTATTTTAATTAACAAAAAAATCCTTTATCACAGAAACAAAAACAAATAAAACTAAACATTGAATTTAATTCAATTGATTTAAGAAAATAAACGTAAACGTTAAATATACTGTCGGTTGGGTCCATTGAAAATATCCAACTAAAAATAATGAATGACTTATATAAGTTTATAATTATTATTTTATAAATCGAAATGTTAATAAAGCACCGAATAAATTTTTTTTCCGACCCGGTAGAATATTCTTTCTGAATTAAAAGGAATAAATATTATAATCATAATATTATATGATTAAAATCAGCGTCGAAAATTCACTTTTCACCAGTGTTCGTATATTGTACGTAAAAATTTGTAAATTTAAAATAAAATCTTTTGCATTTTTTTCGTATTATCCTTTTAATAAAATGCAAAAAATTCAAAAGTAAATTTTTCCAAAAATTTCCGAATTTCCTTTTTTTTCGGATAAAAAGTTTTTTTTTCCGCCGGCTCAATTTTTCAGGAAATTTTGAGACCCTAAGGATGACCTAAGGTCATACTATTTTTTTAATATTAAAAGTTAAAAATTAAAATTATGGGAAATGGTTAAAAATAATAAAAATAATTTATACTTACATTGAACGCAATATGTCATATATTATTTTAAACCATTTCCTATGATTGTTTAACGTACAACTTGAAACATTTTAATTCAGAAGCAAACTGCAATAAACCTGGTAAATATTTTCGGTAATTGTACCTATAATGGATGTTTAGCACACTAAATCCTAATTAAAATAAACAACGGTACGTTAACATTTGTAAATTAAAATCAGGAAATATGATAGTTAACAGTTCCAACAATTCGTTATGTTGCATCGTTAAGTTTCATCCTCTATTATTTATAATTCGTTGTAGTTTGGTATACCAAGAATTCCATACAATTTATTGTGCGTGCATATTTATTTGAACACAAGTGCTTTTGAGGTTCACGCATAATTTTAGTTGTTTGGTTTGTTGGTGGGCTTAACTATGTTTTGATTGTTCGTTGAAGTTTGCATTTTGTATCCGGGAGATTTTTTTGTTTTGTGGCCAGGTAATTTATTGAATAAATATGAACAGGTTGCCAAAATTACTAATAAAATGCAAATAAACAATAAGCTTTGTTTTTAGTATCACATTTACATGTACAATGTTTTTTTATAACGGAAATAAATTTTTAGGATTTATTTAAAAATTATAAATGTAGTATATTTTTCCTAAAGAAACGTAACCAAAAAGCGTCTCATCCTTTTTGGCATAGTCATTGAACATTAAGAAGTGACAAGTTTGTTGATAGCACAAAGAATTGTAAGTAAATTACATTGTTTTTTACTTTTTTATGTTTAAAAGCGTGTTTTTAGTTTTTTTTTTAACTATTGCGCTAATTTTTATTTGTAAATTACCATTTGATTTTTGTTTTGTAAAAATAATATATACCTAAATAATAATTTAGGCTTTAGGGTTAATCGTTTCCTTTTATTAAATTTAAATTAAATTATTTAACAATTCTTATATATTTTTATACTTTTCTTTCCCACATAATTAATTATAATTAATAAATTAATTAATATAATAAACGGTATACCGTTCGAAAAAGACAATTCTATTGTAAAATATTATAAACAAATGTTTGGGTCCGCAGATTTGTTTTAATTTTGTGGAGATCAAAATTATGACTCGCTGAATTCGTAGAAATGATTTTTCAAATTTTGACGTTTTTTTTTGTTAATTTGTTTTGAATGTAAATAATGTTTTATAAAAATTCAAACAGTACTGTTTTTTTAATATTTTTGCGAGTATTTTTGGCTTTTTAATAAAATAACATATATTTATATTCTTAAGTAAAATTCAATTAAAGTAAAAAATGCGATTTTTCTGGCCTTGCGGCAATTTTCATTTAAATTTTTTGTAAAAAAAAATATCAAATCTCAAACAAAAATTGCCGCCAGGCCAGAAAAATCGCATTTTTCACTTTAACTGAATTTTTGAGGATCTTCTTTTACTTATAAAGAATGAATAGGTATTTTCGTTGAAAAAATAAGATTTTTTTTACAAAAAAACAGTACTGTGTATTTTTATAAAAAAATATTTATATCCAAAAAAAATTAACGAAAAAGTTAAACAAAATATCTTCAAAATTTGAAAAATCATCACTAGGACAGTACTAAACATTAAGAGGTCAAATCTTCAGTGAGTCATTATTTTGATGTAGAGAATAACTAATTTTAAAAAAATCCGAAGGGGCACACTTAGGGTTGGGAAAATTTCACTTTTTGCTTGTACTTGAAATTTTCATGACATTTATGAAATTTATTAAAATTTCCTAAATTTCTGAAATTTCTGAAATTTATTGAAACTTTCAATAAATTTCAATCACTTTAAGTGTTATATATTATATATATTGAAATAAGCCCACTCGGGGACCATGGCAAATTGTCTCTACCTCCTACCCATCTGTGGGCTCCTGACCACCAATAGTATAAATAGTAAATACCTATGTTTACCACAAATTTCTTCAGATTTCCTTTTAAAATATTTTTAAAATTACTAAGAGAGATATAGCACTTTTTGGTAAGCTAACGAGATTGTGCCACTTTCATTGTTTTATATTTATATATATTTAATATTTTTATATATTTTACTAAAATTTTACGAAAATTAAAGAAACTTCGTCAAAATTTTATGAGCCAAAGGCATTTTTCATCCGTTTTCCGATGCAATTATAGCAAAAGTAAAAGTTTAAATTAATCATGACTTTTTAAAAAAAGTCTGATTTAATTTACAAATTAAATTGGTAACGGAATTAAATTATTTAAATTAATTTATGCATATAAGTAACAATAATTACTTAGTGTATTCAAATCCAAGCCGAACTAAACAAAAACGACCAGACGCTTGATAACTCGTTCTTATTGGTCGATTCGGAATCTGTTGTAAATTATTATTAAAGGTCCCAGGGGAGGCCGCATGTGAAATTTATGCGAAATTTTCAGTAAATTGCGAAACTTTCAATGGCAATGTTGAAATTTTCGGATTGAAAATTTCATTTGAAATTTTAAAAAAATTCACTTTTTCAACTAAATGAAATATTTCAAGTTTGAAACTTTCAAAGTTGAAATTTTCATTTGAAAATTTCAACTGTCCCAACCCTAGGCACTCTCCAACAAAATTTTATTTGGGGGAATTTCCCATATGCAAACAATATTAACAGGTGCATCTAATCATCAATTGATATTAATAACTTTGGTTTTTTATTTTTACAAAATCTTTTTTATGCCTAATTATTTGTGATTGCTACAGAAAACGGTGCCACATGATATCGTGTTCTCACAAACATTAATGCATTAAGTCATAAGTCATAAAACAAACATTTTTTTAATAATTATTAACAACATCTGTTAAACGGGTCAAACTATTTAGACAATTACCACCAATTTAAAGCGATATTTTCGCATGGTACTCAATTGCGTTTAATCTAAAGATAAACAAAGGATGGATTAAGAGTGACAGACAAAAGTTTTCTACAATTAGATATGGTTTTTGTTTTTTTATGATTTACCCATTATGTATGCAGGGTGTTTTTTAAATGCGCGAAAAATGCAAATGCTGAGTTTAATTTTGTAAAGATAATGTTTCGCATTGTTTGCTTCTGAATTTTCTCCACGTACATAATAGTTATTTATGTCATTAGGTTAAGACGTAAGGCTTTTTGTGCTAAGCTCAAGGTTTGAGCGAAGCACAAAAAGGCACTTCTTGGCCGAATGGCATACAACATTTTATCTTCAAAGCACTTTATACATATAGGTCAATTTAATTCAACATCAAAGCGGCCTAACCTCACTTTTTTAGAATCTCATTTATTTATTAGCTAAAGGTTACATTAAATAATTATTATTGCTTTTAGAAGCAGTAATAGTTTGACAATACCTAGCATACCTAGCTACATGATTTAAGTATACTTAAAAAATAGGTAGTTTGGAATGTTTAAGCTGTGTTTAACATTTAATTTCACTGAAAACTTAAAGCAAATTAAAACTTAAAGATAATTTAAATCGAAGAAAAAGAATCGTGCGTTTTCTTGGTTGCCTAACCTCACTTTTTGTTTTACTATTCATATTTAATTTTACAATAATTTAATAAAAAATATTAAACATTAACAGTAAAACAAACAAATTAGTGCTTATTATAAATAAATTAAACTAGTTTAGTACGTTAATTTCTTAGAAAAGGATTAATTTGTCAAAACAATACCCCTAGCGAGAAAAAATCGAACTAATTACTTGCCTCATAAATTTTTTTATCGGCCTAGGCCATAACAAGGTATTTCTTTATCGAATGTTGACAACAATAAAGTTTAAATTATAGACCGCGTGGAGATAAATATATATTTTTGTTTAATTTATATTTATATTTTAATTAAATTTGTTTTTCACATTAACGTTCCTGTTTAAATCTTAATTTACTAAGTTTATTTTTTTGTTTGTTTTAGGATGTCAGGCGTGAGCCTGGCGGGCGGTCAGCACCCTGCGACCGCTAACAATGGCGTGGGCGGGGGGGCAGTCGAGCTCAGCGACAGTGGCGGAAGGGCCCTTAAATTGCAAACTGACGCGCCGCACCTGGTCAGCATGGGCGGCGATCGGCTCAGCACGTCGGTGACATTGCATCCCATACCCCAAGGTAAAAATATGAAAGAGCATTTTGGTTTAATATTGTTTTTTGCCAATTTTCATTTTATAAAAAATAATAGTTAATTTTAAAGACAACTTTCTTTATGAGGCGCCGTTTGTGTCAAAATTAAAAGTGCAAAATAATTTATTTTGCTTTATAAATAATTTATTACAAATATGCATTATTTACCAAATTATTTTTTATTAAAATATTTTTTCATCGAACTATTTTTTTATCAAATTATTTTGACATAAAATTATTTTTTTATCAAATTATTTTTTTTAATCACATAGATTTTTTTATCGATGTGTATTGATTAAAATCATATTAAAACGAAAAATTGATTTGGTGTATGATCATTTTTTTCCCACTTCTACTGAACAACCGATAGCATGGTTGTTCGCATAAAAGGTTGACAATGTCAACTTGACATACATACATATACAATGTATATTATACATATGTCTATACATATACAATGTTTATTATACATATATCTATAGAAGCTGCAGTAAAATTTATTGATAAAATCCGCCCGTCGTCTTTTATCAAATAATTATTAAGTCATCAATAATTTTTGATTTGATTTTGATAAAAAAAAATAATAATACAGGGTGTTATGTAATTTATGTTATATATTTAAATACTGAATACCTTTTGACATAAGGAGTAAAGGAAAAATATTTAAAAAAATATTTTTCCAAAGATAAAGAAAAAATATGCATTAGAAGTTTTTTATATTTTTTGTGATACGCCACTGGTTACACACTTGGTTTACCTCTGCACACTTGTGTTTTGTGGGTACATAGATACCAACCAACAAAGTAGCTGCCAGATGTAAAAAATTGTTACTAAAAATTTTTCTTGCAAAAAATAAATAAAAACTCAATAAATACAAAAGTTTTATGCCCTTAAAGCTCTAATACCTTTTTGTATTTATTTACTCATCCAGCTAATAGCTTAAGCAATGATTAGAAAATTTTGTACCTATTTTAAAAAACCCATAACCACAAAATTATTATTTTTTCATCGGTTTTTTTTTCTGTTTACTCAGATGAAATTGGGACCAGTTCACAGGTTAAACTTTTAACATTTAATTTGTGTAAATAAATCCAAAAGCACTTCCCTTAGTTAAGATATTTACAATTTGAGCACATAACCTAAAATTTGAAAGAAATGCACTAGATTCTGTCATAAAAGTTGGCAAATTTTGTTTGAATTTACCTTCAGTACAAAAATGACATAACCAACAATTAATAAAAACGCCAAATTGACAATTTCCATTGTAAATTTTGTCATTTTTGTAATTAAGCTAAATTTAAACAATGTTTGTCAACTTTTTTGACAGAATCTGGTTGTTACCAACCATAACATAATAAATTAAATTAGGCAACCAGACTAGTCTAAAGTTCCTAGTCGATCAGTGGCGTACTTTTTGGTAGGATAAAGGTTATTATAAATTATTTTTAGTCTTTGGAATTTAGAAAAAAAAAGTTTCAGGTGCTTCTTTATGGACCCTAAGGAACAACCCATTTTAATATATAACATTAATTACATAACCCTGTATAGTTAATTATTTATAAAGCAAAATAAGTTTATTTTGCATTTTTAATTTTGACACAAATGGGAAAATGGAAAATAAAAGACACTATAAATTTAGCCTTCTTTATTATTTTATCATTGAGTAAAGTAAATGATTTTATTAAAACGTCTGTATACCAATTTAGTTTTTCATTTATTTTAGTTAACCCCTTTCAATACAAATTGTATATTTTATAAAATAATTTAAATTAAATTGATGCGGGTTCGTTCAATGATAACCTTGAATGTTTATTTCTAGTTCAATAAAGCCTCACGAACGTACTAATTTAGTTTAAAGAAAAATAAACCAATGAAATTAAACATGTAACAAGTACTGCAAAAAGCAAAAATAAATAAATGATTTTCTATGTCCGTTTAGGATTATCTGATTTTCATTTAATTTAGTTGTCTATAGATAGAAAATAGAAATCTTTTAATTAATTGTTTATAGTATAAACTTTATACTGAAATTAAACAAACAAATAAAACCATATTCACACATCCCATAAACTTAAATTACATCCCGAAAGTGCACTAAAGTGCTCACGAAATGGCCAACAAAAGAAAACGAACTTCTGATTTGATTATCAATAATGGCTTTTTGCGGACATCTGCTCATGTCACAGTGGACTAGAATATCAAAAAAGTGGCGATAATCCATTAATAAAACTAATAAAGATATCATTATGAAATTTTAACACCATATATTTTTGGGGTATAATTCTTGATCCTTTACAAATTTTAATTCAATTAGTTTTAAATGATTGAAATGTTGCTAACACAAGTTAAAAATTTAGTTATTTTAAAAATTATTAAAAATATTATTTTAAACTTTTAACTTAAAAGTTTTAAGACTAGTTTTATATATTAATAATCTTGATCCTGTACAAATTGTAATTTAATTGCATCAGTAGCGGTGATGAAAGTTTAGTTAAAGTAAGTTAAAAATTAAATTATTTTAAAAACTTTGTAAAATAATATTACTAAATTTTAATACATTTTTAATATAATAAGAATCTATACAATTCTATATATTTTAATTTAATTTGATCAGGAGTGGCAATTTTATACTGGTTTAAAATGTAAATATAATAATATTGCAAAAGTACTTAATAATAATTTAATAACATGCATACCATGGTATCTTTATTTTTTATTATTAAAATAATTTAATATTATTGTTAATATTAAATAAATCATATCATTATAATATATAAAATTGCAATATCCTATTAATAAAAAAATAAGTAAATAAAATAATACACATTATCACAGTATTTTTACCTACCTATATTTATTGCACAAGTATAAAATTTTAAATGGACAAACGTCTTAGCTTTAATTAAAAAAATATATTAAAAAATCTCTATTGGTTTTAAAATTACAGCCATTTAAACTTGAATAATATTGAAGAAAAATGGTCAATTTTGCTTAATCGTAAACTTGGTTCACTTCAAGGTTCTATAGAAGTTCTATAGAAGTATTATAATACTTTTTTTTTGGTGAAAATTTTTACATTTTATAAATAAAACTTTTTTAATTTTAATGTTTTTTCTATACATTTTCTCAATTGTAAAAATACCTAAATTTTGTTTTTGGCCGTTCTCGGGCGATTCTAGTCCACTGTGCGTGTCCCGAGAGGCTTTCTTTCATTTCATTCTCAAACAGGCACAATGGGCTGCTGTATGTACGAATTAAAATCCAAGGCACGTCCCAATCAATTGCAATTAGCACCACGTGGACGGTTTCTGATGCAGTGTGGCAAACTGCTCAATCCGAACCAGGTGCCGTTTGGCCAGGTCTTGCAGACAAAACCAGATGGAAATTAATGTTTTGAATGCCGAGATCGTTATCTTTTGAAACATATTGGGAATGCTATAAAGGGTGTACGGAAACTCCTTTCATATATTTCGAGAGAATATTCCACATATGAAAAAATCATATGAATGTAGGTCCTTAAATGGCTTATAAGGAAGCTATGGCCGTCCAAAGGTGACCTACAAGTACTATAGTTTCTATTTTATTCCTTTGCAACCGCTTGAGTTAGCGGTGTCGGTCAGCACACGAACTAATATATATGAATGAATGCCAAATTTTGATAATTTGAGTTGGAGTCAAATTTAGTCAGGGGCTCTGTTTTTTTAATGCTCTAATGGTTAACATTAAAATAATTGACATTGACGTTTTTGTCATTTATTGAAGTACATTACAGATTAGATTACAGAGTAAAAGTATTTTGAAATAGCTTGATTACAGTTCAATGTTTAATGCATTTTTAATTGCAATTAAATTCATGAATCTCGAACACTCCGTCATTTATTACACTTGCAAACTTTTTGAAATCACAATTTAAATACGCACAAATAAAATTTATGAAATATTTTTGACAGTTCTGACATTTCTCTAACAAACATGAATTGACAAAGTCAAAGCCATCTAAATTTTAAATTATAAATAAAACTAACAATATCGCTACTAAACGGGCATTAAAAAAAATAATATATCTTTTAAAGGAATAAAAATAACAAAACAAGACTAACTGGACTGAAAAGATGAAGGTGGGGACTACATTTCCTGAAAGTTTCAGATTTTTATTTTTTCCTCAACATAATGATTTCTGAGGGCAAAATTGGCTAATTTTGAGAATTATCAATTTTCAATAATTTTTTTAATAAAGAAATTGATAGTCTAGAAACTTAAAATAATAGTTACGTTTTCTATTGTATAAGTACTTTATACCTGAAAAAAATGAACCTTCTAAATTCAGTAGAATAGGCACAGGAGCCAGACAAAAATCACAAAAATTGGCAAATTATCATGAATCTTTAGTGGTTTACCATTCTTTTATGAGATTAACTAATTGGATAATAATAATTTATATCGAAAACACACTTACTGGACAGTAAAACAAAATTAAAATTATTTCAATATTTGTCACAGAAAAAAAGTTCTGGCCCACTATAAGAGAGTAAGAAATTGACACTATTTCAGACTTCTAAGGGGTGCCAAATAAAAGTAAAGCAACAAAAAATTAAAACGGCAACGGATTTTCATATTTGACACCTAAAAGATCATCCTCAAATTTTTTCATCAAAATAAAAAATCACGCAGCGCACCCCATTTGGTGTTTTTATTTGGAATGACTCTATTTCTTTACAACCTCCTGGTCATGGGTATTAAATAAAAGGGTTTTTAAGCATAATACGTGACGTCATTCTAATTTCAGTATGGCGGATGTAAGGAACGCTTTAAAGCAGCGGTTCTCAAACTTTTTTTTTCGCGTACCATTTATGTGCAATGTGGATTAATCGAGTACTACCGAACTAAATAAAAGAAGTTGTGCTGCGTGTACGTATTTATTGAACTTGTAGTTTAATAAGAAATATTGATAACCGTGAAACAGAACCAATTTTTATAGTATTAAAACA